ATCCGTTAATCCATCTAACCGAACACTCTTTGGGTCTGCATATTTAATTCCTTTTAAGATTTTGTTAAACTCTATACTAAAATCCATGTATGCTATGTTTATATTTCTATAATATTCCTATGACAAAGGAGATGAAGTTAGTCTAGCATAATTTGAGCTTAATAATTTAATGTTTAATAGTAGTAGTTCCCTCTTCCCATTCTAAGTTCTCACAAACCCTTTAAAATAATATATTTCAGAATTTTTTTCTAAAAATTGATATTCATATCACTAACCTAAAGGTTGCAGAATCTCTTTTTCCCTCTTTTTTTTTTTTTTGGAAAATTAGAGCAATGTTCATCTATATCCCATCATTCATCATTCCTCAAACATCACTGACAAGTATTCAGTGATAGCATCTTCAGGTTCTTTCAGTAACCAGTAACACTTGGTTCAAGTCATTTGATTTCACTTAAAGGCAGGCAACTCGCCCATTATTTCCATCTCTTTACCTTAGATTTTGATTCTATTCTTTACAATTTGAAGATATTTCTTCTTTATCCAGAAATCAGAAACCAAACAGAAGTTGTATAGTTTTACTTTCTCTGTTGTCATTGTCCCCTTCCCCCCAGCATTGGACCTATATCTTCCTTAGCATTTCTGCCTTCAACATAGCTTTTAAAAGCCAATTTTGTTGTCCTTCATAATATATTCACTGAATTCATTCTAAGCTTTATTTAGTTTTCCTGAGAATATTTTACTAAACTGTAACTATTTTATTTTTACTTTCTATTATATGTTTTTTGCTTCTATCTTTTGTATATATACTTTAAAAATAAAATAGTGATTTAGTCTTACTGAATAGAAACTTTTCTTGAACCACTATGAATGTTTAGTTTGGCTCTTTCAGGAAACATTGTTGGGGGACTTCATCATAATATATAGGAGGTCATTGACATAAATGACCCTGTAACACGCTATCTAAGAAATCCTGTGTTGTAGTGTTGGGACAGATGACATAGTTCTGCAACAAATGTAATAATATCTTTATAATGCTGTTTTGTGAATATTTGTGAAATGTAACTTCAAAGAATGACTAATGGTATTAATAAGTATGCTTTCAGTAATTCTACAAATTCATCAAATATTTTAATCCTAGGTCAGAGTAATGAGTGACTTTATCTTAACCTACACTTGAACTGGAAGCATACATTTCATGGATATTTTTCAATACGGCACTTCTTGCACTTAGATCTTTGAAAATATGTTGCAGTTATTGGCATCTGCCACATGTCCCTCTGTTGCCCTATGGGTCATCTGCATCTTTGACTCTTCACTACCATTCAACATCACTGGAAGAACATTGGTTTTAAAAATTGTGTGTAAGGGTACTTCTGGGAATAGTTAAAGTACCACTCTTCCCGAAAGAATCCCATACTGCTTTCTTCTTCCTGTTCATTTCCAGGGCTAGCACACTGTCCATCGTTAGTGCTTATCCTAGGTTTATGTATTGATTTACTGATTCAATGAACTGGCTATTCAACTATGTGTTATAGTCTGGACAATAGACATTTCTGTCCATTTATTTTTTCCAAATAGATAGCTAGGTTGATCTTTTTTTTTTTATGTAATCATTTATCTCATTGAGGAGGCCATGTAACGTCCTGGGGCTTCATAAAATCAGCACTATATTGTCACCAAACAGGAACATCTGGAAGACTCACCATCTATAGGAAAGAACTCATTCATTTGGACCCTATGCAAGATCCACAGAGTGATGAACACTTTTGGGAACTGATTGTCTATTGATGCACACCTTGATAATAAGTAGAGAATTGTTAAACAAAGTTACCTTCTTGAAGCATGAAAGATTCTTTGTTGGTAGAGAACATTTAAGGCTGAATTTTGTTCTGAAATGTTTTTGGTAGTCAATAAACAATAAACACAATGGGATTTTGTATTCATACATTTTTCACTTCACTATGGAACTGTCATAAATATGTAGTCTTCCATAGAAAATAATCTGCAAAAGATTATGCATTACCAAAGCATTGTTGGTGAAGTTGTGAACTTATCCAACCACTCTGAAGAACAATTAGCAACTATGCCCAAAGGAATATAAAACTGTGCATACTCTTCGATTCAATAGTTCCCCTATTAGATCTGCATTCCAAAGATTTTTTTTAAAAAGGGAAATGGACCTATTTATACAAAAGTATTTATAGCAGCTCTTTTTTGTAGTGACAAAGAATTAGAAATTAAGGGGATGCATGTCAATTGGGGAATGGCTGAACTAGTTGTATATGATTGTAATGGAATACCATTATGCTGTAAGAAATGATGAGCAGGCTGATTTCAGAAAAACCTAGAAAGACTTATGCAAACTCACGCAGAGTAAAGTGAATAGAACCAGGAGAACATTGTATACAATAACAGCAGTATTGTATGATAACCAACTTTGAATGACTTAGCTGTTCTCTGTAATACAATAATCCAAGACAATTCCAAAGGACTCATGATAAAAAGTGCTATCCCCCTCCAGAGAAAGAACTCATAGAGTCTGAATGTAGATGAAAGCATATTGTTTTTCTCTTTATTTTTTCAATTTTTTTTTTGTAGATCTGTGTCTTCTTTCACACCATGACTAATATGGAAATACACTTTGCATGATTGTACATATATAAATTGCATCAAAAGTCTTACCATCTCGGGGAAGGCGGGAGTGAGACAGAAAATATAGAACCCAAAATTTTTTAATGAATGTTAAAAATTGTCTTTACATGTAATTTGGAGAAAATAACATATCATTTAAAGTAAATATACTTACAGAAAAAAAGATTATGTGTTCCAATATTTTCATCTGAGATTCCCTCAATATATGTATAGATCATTCTCATAGGAATTTGATTAAGATAAGAAAGTAGATATATGATTTAGTAGGTATTGAAATTTTCTTAATCACCATTTGAAGGGAGTAATTGTATCTGTTACCTTTTCTTTTGAAATCTTCCTCTTTCTTTGGTATCTTATAACAATGTTTCACTGCTTTCACTCTAGTACCTGCTTGATCTGGTGCAACTCTTTCCAGGTGGTCAGTCAAATAATAAGTGCAAGGAGCAATAGATGGCAAACTTGAGAATTGTGCTAGTATGCACACACACAAAGAAAGTTAAAAAATAAAAAAAAACTGGAGGAAGGCATCCGATAAATTATCTCTTTTGGTTTCGTAAGCTCTATTGGAAAATATGGGCAAGAATCTCACAGGATGAAAAGGAATGGATGGTTTACCATCTGTACCAATGGAGGGAATATACATATTGATAAAATCCTGGATCTATTTAAAGTAAGTTTTTGCTCTAGACTGTCAGGACGTCAGAACTCTTTCTTTTTGAGAAACCTAGGAAATAGTCTGATTTATAACAAATTCAATAGCACGATTATTTTAAACACAGGTAAACCCAAATTTTCAGGTAGATTGATAATGGCCAGAAATAAGGTTATAATGCCTGTAGTTGTCCAGTGTTGACTGGATCCCTTACTTGTTGCCCTAATGGTTTTGTTTTCCATGTCAGTATACAGGTGAGGGACAAACAGATCATCACATGATAGTCAGATGACTAGCACAAAACTATTTTGTAGCATATAATTTTGGGAACTCAAGAGGAATCAGACTATTTAAAAATCAAAGAAAATAAAAATTAACATCACACACTGTGCCCCTCCTCTTCCAATGACATCTATAATAGTCTTCGTTAAGTTAAAACTGGATTACCCATAAAACCTTGAAAACGAAAGGCCAAATAGTATTGTAAGTCTAACCAGTCCAGAAGATTCTACCTCCAGAAGTCATTTTGGGAATCAATTTACTTGGAATAATTAAAAATATAACAACCTTTTTAGCTCAACTGTCATTGTGCCTCAGAGTAACTTAAATTCTTGTCAAAGAATCTAGCTAGCAAACACTGAATTAGTGATTTATATCTCTGTGTGAAGTTTAACAGTGTTGCATTTAAAATGTCTCGTTTTAATTTTTGAGCAGTGTGTGGCTCCATTTAGTTGACCTGTATGGGGCAGAAATGCATTTCTGATGAGCTCACAGGAATAGACATGTTGTGAAAACCCATGGTTAGGTCTTTAGGTTATTTTGAGAAGCGGGTGCGATTTTAAGTGTGGTTCATGAACACAGCTGGCATTGTCTAAAAACTGAGCAAGTTTCTCAAATCATAGCCACAGCACTATAAGAAAAATCCAGTGTCCCCTCCCTGTAACCATTGCCCAGGCTAAGGGTCTATATACTACCTCAGAAAGATGGAAAGGCAGATTTAGTAACCACTCTCTACGTTTTTCCCTTTTCACTTCACCAATAATTTTAAAATGAATGTCAAGCATCAAAGAAAATCAGAATGGGAAATGACAGTGGGAGCTTGAAGTTTTGCCAGGTCCTGTTCATTCTAAGGAATGATTAGACTGAAAAGTATGCTTAAGCTCTGTAGAAAACATACAGGGATGGAGAATCCCCAGCAGAACCTTCTGAGGTTTTGCAATGAAGAGATGATTTGGCTGACAGAGTCATTCTTCCACACCTGCTTGAAAGCTGGATGGAAAGATATTCCAAACTATCTATGAAATTCATTACATCTCTTCAGCCAAAGCCACTCATGGGTGTGGTGCTATAATGGACTGCCAAACAGATGGGTTGTGAAATACACAGCCCATCTGTCTTTATCATGCTCATTTCCTCTTTTATTAAAATGTTAATGAATATAGTTTTTATTTATTATGCAGTGACATGTGCAGCATCCCTTTCTAGGAGACAAATAAGCAATCTGCCTAACCATGTGAGTTAAGAGGAAAGTTCTTGTTACATATTGGAAAAAAAAGGAAGTTTAACTATTATAATTGAATTAAAATTACTTTTGTGTTACTGAAAGTTCTCTTGCTTATTAGTCAATCATTGACTTACATGGTCTTTGTGGTTTTTTGTTTTGTTTTGTTTTCTTTTTGTTTGGTCATTCCACTAGATTCTCCATGGAAGGTTCATTTATCTAATGTTGATCCAGAGATGACTAGTGTCTCTGTCAGTGGCCTCACTCCAGCTCGTACCTACCAGTTCAGAGTATGTGCTGTCAATCAGGTGGGCAAGGGCCAACACAGTGCTGAAACAAGCAGGTATAGTAAAAGTTAATCTCAACAATTCAAAGCTGATGGAGCTGAATTTTAAAGGGTGTTTAAAGAAATCCTACATTTAGATTTAGAAAGGGAATGAAAATAATAGAGATAATCCCCAATAACATTTTCTAAAAAATTTCATAAAAAAAGCAGGGGGATGAAAATATAAGAATACAAATAGAAAATACATATGTATTTTAGACTTGCTTTAGATTTGACAGAAATAGCAATCATGCCATATCTATGAAGGAGATATTCTGGTTTTCTAGTTCAGTGCTCTGATCGTGTGTGAATAAACTATTTGATACAGAAACCTAGTGACAGCATAAAATTAAAAGCCTATTGGCCTTTAGTGTCCTTTAGCTATTCTGTCAGCATGATGCAGAAAGAAGGCCAACATCTTCAGAAAGTCAACCATATCCAAGGTTTTGCATGGGAGGCTTAGTGATTTCAACTATTTAAGTTATGGGAGTTAGCTCAAGAATGGCCTTCATACTCACCAAACCACTTGAAGGCCACTTTGGAAGTTCATTCAGATGAGACCTAAGAAAGATGGCTTCATCAAATTTCAAATGTACTCCCTAAAATCAGAACTTTTAATGTGCTTGAATTGCAGAATAGTTGATAGTTAATTTTTTTTCAAAATGTGGGAGTTTGCTATGAAAAATATTGAAAGAGCTAAAGAAAACAATTTACAAGGAGTCACAGATTCTAGCCCTATACTCTGGCTCATTCAGGCTTGAAATCTTTTTAAAGGGCTCAGGGAGCCTGGGTAATTCAGACAGAATAAGGTTGCTTCAGCTGTCTTCCTTGTGCTTGCTTAACTGATTTTCGATTATGTTGATTTGTTGTAACTATCTCATGCATGTAGTCTCCATTTGATCAGCATTGTGTTTTTCCCTTTCTTGTCACCTTTTAAAAGTAAGTACTGTTCAGGAAAATGTAGAATGAAAATGTGGATGCTTTGTTTGGTTTCTGACAACTCTTTTATCCATCCTCTTCTTTTGTGCTTAGACTGATGTTACCTGAAGAACCTCCTAGTGCCCCGCCTAAAAATATAGTGGCCAGTGGGCGCACCAATCAATCTATCATGGTCCAGTGGCAGCCACCCCCTGAAACTGAACATAATGGTGTTCTCCATGGCTACATCCTCAGGTAAATAGCTTGTAACTAGACATCTGGGGAGAGGGGTCTGTAGACCAGTGATTTCATTAATGTGGAGAACTGCTAATATACAAACTGTCTCTATCAGTGCAGAATAGAGATTCCTCAGTAACTTGTCATTTTAGGGATATGGACTGTCCTCCTCAGTGTCAGAAGCAGGATTTGAGGCTATCCTTTTATACTGCCTCTCCTGATTATTATCTTAATAGTATTAATATTAGGATAAAATATTAATAATTAATGATATTAGTATTATAATATTAAGGTAAAAAAAATCATCAACTCTAGGAAGTTGCTTATGCTTTGCAGTATTTAGAGGGAATTGTACCAGAATTTGGCAATGTTTCAATGAGGAAATCACCTTTTGTTGCCAAAGCTAGTACAGAATTTAAAATTACTTTGAAGGTGATAATTGCAATGTTTTGTTGACACACAAAGGAAGAAGCTTGAAGAATATTAAAGGAAAAAAATGAGACCTATTCTTATTGGTAGTAGAGTTCCTTATTTTGCAAAATTTTATATTGATCTTATTTGCCTTACTAGAGTATAAGCCCTACAAGGGAAAACATGATACTGAATCTTAGCCCCATGCTTCCAAGTACCTAATACCCACTCTTTAGATACTTGCTCATTAAACTTTTGTTGGTGTACAAAAAGAGGAAATGGACAAAATTAATTTACTTATATCATTACATATATAGTGAATTCTCACTAGCTTCTTGGATCAACCTATTACTGCCATATATGTAGAACAGCAATTTAAAAAAACCAAAACTTGAATCATCTTTTCCTTATTAATGTAGATGTACTGTCACACGTTCTTCTTGAGACTTCTGGATTTCCTTTAAATTATAAGATAGATATCCTATTAGTTCTGAGACAGTTTAGCAGACATACCTAGAAATATAGATGACCATTTGAAGCCTTTGATTTCTGTGATTCTCTGTTCTTACCCACTAAAAACAAGGCATGTGAGAGGTCTGGAGCCTTTGGGGAATGAGGCTGACACGAGACAACCTTCTATTATGCCAATGATGAGGGCATTTGGTATCTGGATCACCATAAAAATTAACTTAGTTTCTATTGCTTTCAGTCACATAGCCTTCTGACCCTCCAGGAGACAGCCCTGAGACTTTCATACTAGTTTGACAAAATTTTCTTAGTATTTTGCTTGTTCTTTGCTACAATTTAAGCCTATTACTTCTTGTTCTGTGTTCATTGACTAATGAAAATAATTGGTCCCTGTCTTCTTTGTACTAGCCCTTCACCTATTTGTCATGTCTAGCTGCTTTGGCCTGTTTTAATAGATGGGAAAAGCTTCCTTAGGCTGAAGTTGTCAACTATAGAATAAACATAAAACCGTCACAGAACTAGACTGCAGGCATGTAGTTCAATAATAAAATTTCTGTGATGTTGCTTGGTTATATCAGAGATTGCACATTTCTGTATTTAATGGGATTATTGCTCTTAAAAGGCTTTTCTGTAATGGCGTCAGCAGAGTTGAGTGCTGAAGTACTGGTGGCTTTATTCCAGAAAGCCCTGAAGTGAGTGTGCCCTGCACAAGGCAGAGACATGTCAAAGTTTACGGTATTAAAAAAATCTGTGCATAAATGAATCTCCTTGGAAGCATTCCTGAATAATCCCACTATCATTTGTGTGTTTGCAAGCATGTAATACCGACAAGATAGCAGCAGGAGGGAAGAATAAAATAAAAATAAATACTTTGTCTTTGTTACTCTAGCTGTAGTAAGTAGCTAGGCTTTGTGTGCAGTTATAAAATATTTATAATAATGGTGAGGGTGTCTCTTTGAGAGAAGCAGTTGGGTTATGTCCTTCAAAAAAAAATCTACCATTTACTTCCTTGTAAAAGATTGTCATATGCCGTTTGCAACACATCCCACCAGCAAAAATATGATCATCCTGCCACTTCATATATTAATTGTGACCTTTTCAGTCATCCTGTTAATTTTACACAAACACCCTGAGCAACTGGTCAGTTTGTACCCATCAGTTGGGCTGGGGAGGAAATCAAGTCAGTCGCAAAGATTTTGATTTTGTACTTTGATGATATGCAATGAGCAATTGTAGAAAGTGAACTGAGAGGAAGAAAGACATGTATGGTTCACCTTAAAACTCAAAGGATTCAATTGTATTTTTACAATCCTCTTTAGCAGCAAGAGCAGAATTCTAGAAAGAGTCAACTGAACATTCAGTTGGGGAGGGCTGCTTGGGCAAGTGAAATGAACCTGTTCTAAGAGTACCTGCTTGTCATGTATATGTTAATGAAATTTAAACAGCTTTGAATATGAGCCAGGATATTACTTTTCCTCTATTTTCTTTTCAAAAGCTAACTTTGTCATAAAATCTGTTCCTTTTTCTTCTCCCAGAAAGGTTACTCTTTCTAAAAATTATTTCGTTGTTTTCAATGAAATTTTATTTTTCTATTAGCATATTATAAAAATCTCTTGTATTTATCTCCTACAGTTCCCTTATTTTTTTTTACTATAAAGCTGTAAAATCACAGATCCTTCACATATTTATATTTATAAACATTTAGATGGTAAATTATCCAGATCTTTTTTTTATCCTTCCACCTATGACCAAGCTATTATTATATTAGCACCTCTTTCCTCCTTTGGTCCATATGACCAAGCTGTTATTATATTAGCACCTCCTTCCATCTTTAGTCTATATCTCCAAGCTATTATTATATTAGCACCTTAGTTTGAGGGTATGAAGGGAAAGAAATGAAACAAAGAGGCTCGAATTCATCAAGGTGCACTCACTGAGGAGAGAGACTGATTTGTGGCCTTACATGCTAGCACGATGCCTACTCCATTCTTCTAGACTGGACTTGTGATTTCATCCACTCAGTGAGGAACTCCCTAACTTATGCAGATCCTCACCTCTTTAACTTACTGTCTCAGGGAGCTTTTCCTCCCCAAGGACGGTGATGGGTTAAATGACTTACCCAGGGTCACTCAACTAGTATGTGTCAGAGGTGGGATTTTAAACTCAGGTCTTTCTGACCAAGACCAGCTCTCTATTCACTATGCCGTGTGCTTACGGAAATGTTTGTGGAAGTGAGAAGAATTGAATTTCACAAATTTGCAGCAATACTTTGGTCATTTTTTCTGAGCTTTTTTTTTTCAAAAAGAGCAATAAAAAAGCCACCATTGAATGTGACCTTAGAGATTATCTTGTCCATTATATAACCTCCAAAGACAGGAAGTGCCTGTGTGACCAGGGCCACACATCTAGTAAGTGATAGAACAGAGAGTCAGACCCAGATGTCCTCACTCCAATCTGTTTTCCAATTACTGCTGTATTTTATGTTCTGCTATATGCTTTTTGCAATCCTGTCTGCAAGTACAAATGCCTTGACTGGGACTTTAAGTGGAAATTTTAATGAATGAGATGAAGTGGTAAACTGATCTACATATTTCCTCATTTATCTGTCATTTGGGCCACTCTATGCCAAGACACTTCCCCCTCCTGTTCTACCACATAATTCAGACTTGTCAATATTGTTGAAATGGACTTCAAACCCTCTTGGGAAGTTGCTTTGGCTTTTTTCACATGGATCAACCCATAGTCCAATGACGGAATGTCATACTAGTGGGTTTCAAAAACTGATGAAGTATGAAGCATAAATACAGGGCAACAAATTAAATAAAAATATTTTCATTTTTGCCAGTCACAGAATAATAATGCTTCATTTGCAAGTCACTCCATTATTTGGTCTACTTATTTCTTCTGTGTTGATTAGCATATTGTAAGCAGGCACTGTACAGCTTGTTTCCTTGAGGGCAAAAAATGAAACAGACTCATTGAACCCTCATGTTGTTGAAGAGCTGATTGCTTTTTATTAAATACCATATTTTGTCCTGTCAAACATTTCTCAAAAAGTGTAAAGACCCCTTAACAAAAGGGTTGAAAGAATATCCCCAGATAAACCTGGCTTTCTATGTCGACACCAGACAAATATCTCATCTCTCTTCCCTCTTCCAGCCTTCATTTCATTCCATTTCCGATCTTCAGTTTCATCAGGAAGCTTGTCTGTCCATCATGTCTCTGCTCTTTCCTTAACTGTTTGCTTCTAACCATGAACCTTTGTGATTTCCCTGTCTCTCATCATGCTTCACCCTCATGCCAAGCCGCATTCTCCAGGCACATAAGTAAGTTCCTGGATATAAATTGAGTACTTTTGGAAAACAGCAGTGAGGCTTTTAGAACATTAAGATATTACACAGTCAAGTTGTTATTTAGCTACAATTCAGGTGGCTTTTTTTGTTATTGATTTTGTTTCTGGCCTGTTATTTCATTGGTGTGGAGAACTCCCTGGTGTGGAAGTTATCTCTATCAGTGCTGACCAATGAGTTCTCATCTTAGAGAGCTGCTTGGTGCCCTGGAGAGGTACAGTAATCTGCCTGTGATCATAAACTAGTCTGGGTCAGAGGCACGACTCCTTGGTCTTCCTGACTTTAAGACTGACCATTTATACATTAAACAATTCTGCCTCTTACTACATGTGTGCCACTCTTGAGCAATAACAGTTGTGATTCTGAAAAGTTGTGTGTCAATTAATTTTTATAAATCAAATCATAGCCCTGAGAAAAACTAAAACAACAAAAACTGTATGCTGTTATTATGCAACTAGATGACACAGTGGATTGATTGCTGGACCTGGAGTCAGAAAAACCCAAGTTCAAATCCAGCCTCAGACACTTACTAGCTTTGTAATCCTGGCAAGGCACTTAATGCTGTTTGCCTCAGTTTCTTCTTCTATAAAATGGAGATAATAACAGTACCTACCTTCTAGGGTTGTTGTGAAGATCAAATAAGGTGATAACTCTAAAGTGCTTAGCACAGTGCCTGGCTATGGTAAGCACCATATAAATGTTAGCTATTATTATTGTTATCATTAATATTATTATTTTAAGTGGACTAGAGGGACCTTACTGTCAAGTAACCCTATAAAGACTTTTTTTTATTGCAAGTAGAGGCTCTTCATTTCCTATATTTTATTGACTTCTGTTTCCATGACCATTTTTGTAAAAGTGGAAGATAGCTGTATTTAGATCCCTAAAAGATTTTTAAAAGCACTAGACTTTGTCAGAAAACCTGAGTTTGAAGTCTCTTTTCTCCAGCTGAGTAACCTAGAGCAAATCACTTAAATTCTTTGAACCTCAGTTTCCAAAATGAGACATTTGTAAAGCCTTCTTCAAAATGCTACATAAATACTAGCTATTATTATTATTATTATCATAAAATAGCAAATACAAAGGACTTTGTAACTGATTTAAAGTGTTATACAAAAGTGTTGCTATTAATATTAATAAATGGATGCTAACTATTTAAAACAGTATTAATTAATTAATAGAAAAGCAATTTCTTCAATTAATAATGCCTTAGTCTGAAAGAGTTCATGCACTCTCAAAATCACATTCATTTCCAGGGCCACTCTGCCTCTAGAATCACTAGAAAGGGACATAAATTGTTGCTTGGACCCCAACATGAAGGGATCTATATAGTTAGCCTCTTTTTATATTTGTGCCCCATATTTCAGAGTCCAAACAGGAAAATGTTAGTCAAAGTTATTTATGGCAATACCCTGATAAAAATCATGTCTGGAATTTTTGTTACTAAGTCATTGTATTTACTAGACAAGTCACATTTAAAAAGCTGTAATTTTTCTGCAGCTGTAAAACAGGATAAAATACCAATTTTGTTTAGCCTTGAGCATATAATCTTAGTGGGATCAGTTTATAAATCCTTTATCAGTCAAGAAGGATACCAGGAGTTAGCTTCTTGGGTTTCAGTGATTTAAAAAATTTTTTTTTTACCTCAATCTTTGTACATTTCTAATAAAATAGATAATATTTTATTTTGTACAATTCCAATAAAATAGATAGCACAATAATAATAATAGAAAAAACTCCAGTGAAATCCCTTTACCAGTCCACATATTTGTTCTAATTTGTTCTTGCCTGCTGTTCTTTTCTTTTCTACCTGTAGGTATCGCTTGGCAGGCCTACCTGGCGAGTATCAGCACAGGAACATTACCAGCCCAGAGATTAACTATTGCCTGGTGAAAGACTTGATCATCTGGACCCAATATGAAATCCAAGTGGCAGCTTATAATGGGGCTGGTCTGGGAACATTTAGCAGAGCAGTTACAGAATATACATTACAAGGAGGTGAGCTTGATTCCCCACCAAAATGTAATCTTAGACTTTTTTCTTTACATAAAGTCAATGTGATGTCAGAATTTGCTAGTGTCAATTAAAGCTTAGGTCTGGTACAAGTTCTAAGAGAGGAATGTGAATATTTGAATTCAATTTAATAAATATTTGCCAAGAGGGTAAAGAGAGTATTTCTGATGGGTATTTGTTGTATAGTTACCTGTCCCCAAACTATAGAAGTCAAATGAGGCCAATGGCAATGGCAATTTTCTAGCACCTACTATGTGCCAGGTACTATTCTAAGCTCTGGGCATACAAAAAAAGAAAAATAGTCCCTGGCCTCAAGAAGCTCATAGTTGAATGGAGGAGAAAACATGCAAACAACCATGTACAAATAAGATATAGGCAGAATAAATGGAAGATAATCTCAGGGGAAAGGCATTAGCATTAAAGAGGAATTAGGAAAGACTCCATGCAAAAGGTAGGATTTTGGCTGAGGCTTGGACAAAGACAGGGAGGTGAACAGGCATAGGTGAGGAAGGAGAACATTCCAGGAATGGGGAAAAATCAGCAAAAATGGAGAGTTAGGAGATAAAGCATCTTATTTGTGGAACAGCAAGGTGGCCAGTGTGACTGGATCATGAAGTACATGAAAGAAGAGTAAAGTGTAAAAATCCTAGAAGGGAGCTAGGTTGTGAGGGCTTTGAAAGTCAAAAAGGAGATTTACATTTGACCATATTGATAATAGGGAGCCACTGGAAATTATTGAATAGGGAAGTGACATGAATTGTTTTGATTCAAACAAAAAGTATCCCAATTGCCATATATAAGAGAAGCATGATTGGACAGCAATTTGTCTACAAATTTGATTTGAGAGTCTTCATAGGCTGCAAGCTCAATATGAGCCAGCAATGTGATGGTAGCAGCCCTAAAAACTAATGCAGTCTTAGACTCCTGTCTTCCAAGAATATGGAAGTACTGGTCACTGTACAGAATACATACAGAGCGTTATGTTTAGTTCTGGGTCACATGATTCAATCAGGACAACGAAGAGCTGGCAAGTGTTCTGAGGAGGGCCACCAAGATGGTGTAGGGCTCTGAGTCCATGTCATATATGAATCAGTTGGAAGAACCAGGGAAGGTTTAGCCTAGAGAAGAGTAAACTCAGTGAGGCCATGATAGCTGTCAAATATTTGAAGGGTTGTCATGTAGAAGGGAGATTAGACTTACTCTTTTTAGCCCAAGTGGGCAAAAGTGGAAGAATTGGTGGAAGTTACAGAGAGGGAAAGTTAGAGGTAAATTTAGGCTTTATGTGAGTACAGAAGTTCTAACAATTAGAGCTGATCAAAAACAGAATAGGCTGCCTTGGGAGGCAGTGGTTTCCCCTTTGTTGGAAGTCTTCAGGCAGAAGCTGAATGACCACCCCTTGTATATGCTGTAGCAGAGATCCTCTGGGGTTTGGGCTGGATTAGTCTGAGGTCCTTTCCAACTCTTAATTCTCTGCTCATGTGATTCTCTCATTTTAAGGGTGGAAGAGGAACTTGCTCAGGAATCCCTCTCTGAATTCTTTTGCAAAAAGAACAATCTTTCTCTAATTAATTTTTTTGACAGTCTTACTTTCATTTGTTTCTACTTATTCAGGATCTCTTACATTTCTCTCCCCTTCTCTATTTCCATTATCACAACACTGTTCCTATTGCAATAATCCCTTAACTGGTCTTTTTATCTTCCACACACTCCCCATACCAATTCATTCTTCCCATTCCTGTGAGATTAGTCTCTGTCTGTCTCTGTCTCTGTCTCTCTGTCTCTCTGTCTCTCTCTCTCTGTCTCTCTCTCTCTGTCTCTCTCTCTCTCTCTCTCTCTCTCTCTCTCTCTCTCTCTCTCTCTTTCTCTCCCTCTTTATACATATATATATACATATATATGTAGTATGTGTATATAGATATACATATATCTATACCCACACATGTTTATGTTTTGTATCAGCTTTTTGCTCAAAACCCTTCAGTAGTTCCATATAATCTACAATATAAAATACAAAGTCTTTAGCCCTTCAGAGTTTGATGCTGATACTACTTTTCCAGCCTTATATGATACAACCCACTTCCATAAAGTAGACTATTTGGCTTCCGCAATATATATCCCATGGTTTCTCACTTTACTTTCTTTCCTCATACCAGCCTTTGTGCCTAGAATGCACTCCATTCTTCTTTACCTATTGAAATCAAGCCCAGCTCAACTGTTTCCTCTTCTATGCAACCTTCTTTATTCTCCTTTGGGCAGGAGAGCTCCCCATTCATAGACAACTCCAAACTGCAGATAGCATTTTATTTACACATTTTTATTTTCTGTCATAGCTATTTATGTGTCTCTATATTAGATTGTAAACTCCTTGGAAGTAGGAGTCATGTTTTACTTGATCTTTGAATCTCCCCTGATACCCATAGTGTTTAAGGCATGTTTAGTGATGGAATGACTTTATCAGGTTTGCTTACAGTGGCGTTATTGTTCTGCATATCTGTTGTTGGTCAGTAACATATGTATCTTACATAACATAGATGATAGTATGTAGTTCACCATGGATGTGCTTTGTTTTTATTGCAATTCTCTGTCTCTCTTATTTCTTTTTTTAAATTCACAGTCGTCACTAGAGCCAAATAAGGCTAAAAAAAAGTCCTAAGCAGAACCTTATGAAATCTATAAAAATGAAATGTGTCAAGACTCACCTCAAACATTTGAAGACTTCCTTAGTAGTAAATTTCTTTACTGTTGTCTAAAATATTTTGGTCTTGGATGTAGAAATAAATAAGTTAACTGGGCCCTAGGAATTTTTGCTTATATATTAATTTCACTGTACTGATGTTAACAGGGATAAGATAAGCTTTCTGTTCACATAACTTTATGTAAATTACAGTCACCCAAATCCTTGCCCGGAGAATTTATTTTCACAGAGAATCAGAAATTAGTTTTATTTTGTGATTTGTATTCTCTTCTGATTCACAGGTGTGATTTTATTTGTTTGAGCATTTTACTACAGTAGCCTGACCTTTCTCAAATAATAGGGTTTCTAACTGCCCACTTCTTTCCCCAAACCATGCCTCAGACCTAATGTTCCTTGATATTACATGCTGTTATTATCATCCTTTATTGATTGGCTGTCTGTTGTCCTATATAAGTCTATAAAGTCTCCCGTATAAATTGAGTGTTGTCAGTTCTGCATTCAGATTGACTAGCAAAAGTATTCAAAATGCAAGCTAATCCATGAGGAACTGTTCCTCCTCAAGCAGTTCTTAATTACTGTTTTGAAATGGGAAATAGCTGAAAACCTGAATGATTCTGTGTAGTTAGTCTGATTCAGGAAAGAAAAAAAAAAGAATGAAATGAAATTTAGAAACAGCCTAAATGACTCTAGCATGGTTATTAATAATATTGTATTGATATTAACTATGCTTATTACATATATTCAAAGTGCACTGGAGTCCTATATAGCACTATCTCCAGGGTCCTGGCTGTGGGACAGCCATATACTAACCTTTATTCGTTGATTTATATACCTTATCTTTTCTGAACTTCACAACCATTGGAGGTGGGTGCTATTATTTCCCCCACTTCATAGATGAGAAAACTGAAACCCAGAGAAGTTAAATGACTTGCTCAGGATCACACAGCTAGTTGAGTGTCTGAGGTAGGATTTGAACACAGAGTTGTTTTGCTTTTGTTTTTTTCTGATGCCAACCCTCTATACATTTTGTTAAGCTGTAGATAAGACTGTTTCATAATGAACTCATTTGGAATTTGAGTGAATCATTGAAGTAGGTGTGCTGGCTTAGGATCTGAAATAGTGACTAAACTGGAATCTAAGGGTTTTTTTTTAATCCATTTGCTAAATGGATTAAACTGGACTAATACCAAAATGTTATTAAGCAAAATTATTTTTTTCTTTGCTCTAAAGTTATTAAAATGGTGGAGAAACGATCTTGTCTGAAGTAAGGCTTAATATGAAGACCAACTTGCTGAAAATTCCATTAAGGAACTAACCTAGCCTGAGCTCAGAAGGGTCCAGTCCATATTTATTGCCTTCCTCTAGGGTCTCGGATAGAACTGTAGTGCCAGAACTGGTGGGGACCCTAGAGGTCATCTAGTCCAGCTACTCCCTGAGTGACTAAAAGATGAAGAGAGGAAGGACAGGATCTGGGAGATTCTGCTTCCTGCTAGAATATTTCAGCAGGTTGAGAGATAAGTTTCTATAAGACTTGGATTGTGGATTAGGTGGCTGGTGTCACTTCCTGTGATCTACAGAACTCTAGGTTGAAACACTAAGGAATCAGAATGGGGATAGGGAGAAAGATGGGATTGGGAGAAAAAGAGGAAGAGGAATGGGAATGGGGATAGGGATGAAATAGGAAGAAGAAGAGGGAGAGGAAAAGCAAGAAGGCAAAAGAGGGAGAGGACAGGAAAGGAATAAGGAGAGAGATAAAGAGGGGGATAGGAAAGAGGATAGGAAGAAGAAGAGGAGGGGTATAGGGAAAGGGAAAGAAAAAAGTATGGGGAAGGGAGGGAAGGTGGGGAGCAGAGATGGATGGGAATGGGCAGGGGAATATGGAGAGGGAAGGGGAGAAAGTGAGGCATTAGCTTTGTGATTGCAGTGGTATAGGGAACTCCTACGAGATAAACTTCTTCTAACTAGGCAACTGAGCACTTTTTCTGCATCTTAGAGTTTTAAGGAATTGCCTAGAATATTGAAGAGTTAAGTGATTTCTTGCCTAGGATCCCAGTCAATATGGTGAGAAGTAGGATTCAAACCCCAATTTTTCTGGTTTTAAGGCTTACCCTCTATCCACTACACCCCACTACCATCAACAGAATACTAGATTTAATTCTTGGCATACTTAAAGGTACTTTAATTCCTTTGGCCACTTGTCCCCCAAAACTGATGGACTTTACCACACTTGTAAACTCATGGTTGCTGAAAATGCCAGAAACTGAAACAAAATCTTATAAAAACCATTAAC